GACTCATCATAAATTGTGACCATAGGGGGCACTGTTGTAGGAGGTGTTAATAAGCTTGAGTGTCTGCATTCATAAATTACATGTGGAAACTGATGTATTGCGCTCTGTATTCTAGTTAATCTTTAAACTACCCATCTCCATAATTGAACACACGTACACATAGTTCAATGAATTTATGCATGTGTGTTTAAAAATATGTATTTAATGTATGTATGGACAGTACGTTTAAACATGCCCTGATATCAAACAACATCACCCCCAAGGTGCACAAATTCTGAAGAGTTACTGATTTAATCTGTAACACTGGCCATTTGGTGAAGACAAAATCATGCACCAGGTGCCCACTAATGGAATCCGCCGCAGTCAGTGGAAAAAGAAGTTGCATTTTAATGATTTATTTTAATTAATTTCCATGATGGTCGATCAAAATATGTCTTAAAATGAAACCGGTCCATAACGCAAATATCATTTGGGGAGTGATTGAAATGTGCTGAAAAAAAAAAAAATCAATGAGGTCATCAATAAATCGGCTGACTCAATTTTATCACATTAAAGTTGCCTACAAAAAAAAAAAGAAGTCTCTCAACTCCTAATGCACCAGTGACTAAATGGAAATGTGTGCAGTTCAAAAGCATGTTTGCAAAAAGACATTTCTGTCTTTGTACGATAAGTATTCATATTTTTGGGGACCCATAGCACAAAAGCAATGCAACCTATTCTTTTTGGCCTTTGGTGTTAAGACAAAATGGGTCTAAAAAAAGGAAGCGACCCAGGATCAAAACAACTAATGAAGGTCAGATGTAGCATCCGCACATATGGAATTAAAAAAAAATTAACAAATCTGCAGATGAAGTCTGTAGGTTCTGTAGCAGTCCAAAATAATGTACTGAAGCTATTCATGAAAAATGCTAAACTACAAAAAGCAAAGGTTTTTAAATAGTGGACTTGGCACTGATGGACCACACACTGTGATAGACCGCCTGGAGCAGGTTTACTTGGTGTTGAGGAAACAACTAAGAGGACAAATGTTGTGTTTGAAATGCTTCGGCCGAACAGATTTTTTTTTTTTTTTTTTTTTAGCATGGTGGTGGCTTTGTTGGAAATTACTGTCCACAGACAAAATGAACCCTGAACATCCGTCCATTACCACAAGTGTCAGACTACAGAGGCAGTCTGGAGGATATATATATATATATATATATATATGCAAAATGGGTAAGGTTAAAAGACGCATACCCGTGTGAATGAGGCTGTGTCTCTCCAGGTGGTAACGCTGAATAAACCTCATGTCACATACGGCACAAGCATACGGCTTCTCCCCTAAACCGAAGAGCACCAGTTTTAGTTCAAGCTCCCACAGAAACCACTAAAACTGTGAGGCAAAACCTATTATACTGTACCAAACAGGCCATTTGACACCTTACATTTGCTGCAGAGTGCTATTATCCAGACCATTTTAGATTTGCTGTTTTAGGGCACTACAGTTGATAGCATGACGCCTACCTGTGTGAATGAGGATATGTCTCTTCAGGTGGTATCCGCTCCTAAAAGCTCCGTAACAGTGGTCACAAATAAAGTTTTTCTGCACTTTGGAAGATGGACCATTCTCATCTCCACCTGTGCCCTGAGGAGGACAGTAATGAATAGCCGTTTAGCAACACTTCTTGTGCACCAGTCATAAACTAAGATGTTTGTGTCCATACCTTTTCCTGACTGTCTTGTTAATGAAAAGTTATGTAAGTTATTTATAAATATCCTACAATGATGGTTTATTTTACAACTTTTGTCTAGGATTGATGGAGAATTAACTTACAATCCCCTCCAAAAGGCCGTGGTGCTGCTCCCCCTGTTATGCACACAACTGCTGTTATTGTGCAGGGCTCTGCCCTGCTCCCCCCTCCCCCCAGCTTTCCTCTCCAGATCCCCCACCCCCTCCACATCTTCCATGTGCTCCTCCTCCCCCACAACACCG